CTCTGTGAGAAACCACTGACCTGTTTTCCACAGCTGCTGCGCATTGTCACAATCCCACGAGCGGTGTGGGAGAGTTCCAGGGACTCCACATCCTAACACACTTATCTGTCTTTCTCTATGTCAGCCATCCTGGTCTTGTCAGAGTGGTCACGAGTTGGGCGGGGATCCTCGTGGTCGGCAGTTCAAAACCACCATCAGCTCCGAGGGAGAAAGACTGGGACTTCTACTCTCATGAACAGTCGCAGTCTTGGCAACACACAGGGGTCCAGTGGCTCGGTGGTTTGGTTCTCGTCGTTATCTTCAGTCCAGTCAGTGTCCACTCGGAGTGGCCCCAGGTGACAGAGCAGAACTGCCTCATGGGGCTTTCAAGGGCGTCATCTTGATGGGAGCAGATCGCCCACTCTTTCCTCCCGCATGGTGATGGAGTGAATGACCAACCTTTTGATTAATTAACCATCGTCCCAGTGCGTGTGAAGTGACCTCGCGCGGTGGCTTTGATTGACAGTTCCCTACTAACTGGCTATAAGCCCCCCTGGTGGCACAGTGAGTTAAGTTGTGGGATACTAACCAAAAGATCAGCTGTTCGAACTCACCAGACCACACCACGGGATCCAGGTTCAGAGTCTCAGAAACCAGAAGTAGCGCTTCTGTTCGGCCCTGTCGGGTTGCTGAGTTGGAATCAACTGGACAGCTGTGGGGCAGTGGGGAACGACGGCAGTGAACCTCCGTCGTGTGCACAGTGGCTGAATACTTGTCCGTGGTTTGCTGAGTGCCTCGTCTCTTGATGGACTTTGGGGTTGGTTCTGCCCTTTGGCTATTGTGACGACTGCTGCAGTGAACATGGGCGTCCAGATGCCTGAGTGCCTGCTTTCACACCTTTCGGGTCTTGGGGGTCATCTGGTGACTCTTGAGGAACTGCCAAACTGCTCTCCACAGCGGCTGCACCGTTTTACACTCCTGTCAACGCTACACAGGGTTTCCAGTGCCTCTGCATCTTCTCCGGGACTTGTTATTTTTATTTTCTTTCCAAAAAGCCGTTGTCCTGAACGTGTGCGGGGAGTGGTATCTATGTGATTTTGCCTGCATTTCCCTGGAGACATTGAGCATCTCTTCAGGGCTTACCTGGCCGCCTGGCGCCCCCTGTGGACAGAGGAAAACTACTCTGTGGGGCGTTCAAGGCTTGGGCATCTCAAAAGCATAAACCAGGCATATCTGCCGAGGGGCTTCCTGGTAGGCTCAAACTCCCCACCTTTCAGTGAGTAGTCAAGCGCTTAGCTGATTCTGCCAGCCAGGGAAACCTTTCTACATGGCGTCATGTCATCTGTGAATGGTGATAGTGGTACTTTCCAGTCTGGTTGCCTTTTTTCCTTTGACTTCCCCAATTGCCCTGGCAAGGGCAGAAACTTTCCCTGTGCCAGATCTTACGAGAAAATAGTCTTTCTCTATTAAGGCAGATACGTGGGCGTGGTTTTTCATACTTCACCTTTGCTCAGCTTGAGGGAGCTCTCTTCTCTCCCTACTTTAGTACGAGTTTTTATCATGAAGGGGTATTGCATTTTGACAAATACTTTTCCCGCTTCTGTGCGATGATCATGTGATATTTTATTCCTTTATCCTGTCAGCAAAAACAAATTCACTCCTGTCATTTGTGACTCACAGCCACCCTATACTATAGACAGGCTAGAACTGCCCCTGAGCGTTCCTGACACTGTAATATAGTATATATTGATGCGTTTCCAGGTGCTAAACCAACCTTGTATTTCAGGGATAAATCCCACTTGGTCACAGTGTGTTGTTCTTGGTAGATAACACTAGAGTCACCTTGCTCGTCTTTGCTGGGGTATCCATAAGGTAGGTGCCGGATTTGCATCTGCATTATATTGACCTAACAAAGTGTCTCCTCCTCCTCCTCCTCCTCCTACCTTTTTGCTAGAAGTTGTGAAAGATTGATAGAATTTTAAACTTTCAGAAACTTCACTAGTGAAGCCATCCAGTCCTAGATTTGGTTTTGGTTTTATAGGAAGTATTTAGATTTCTGATTCAGTATCTTTCCTTGTTATCGGTCCATAAGCTTTTTTTCTTTAGCCCAATATGTGTAGCCCTTTGATCTTACTATCAATTATACCCAGGCCCAGTTCTTGGCACAGAGGGCGCAGCAATGAATAAAACAACAGCCCTAGCCCTCTTGGAGCTTAGCCTTCTCATGCGCTTTCTCACACTCTCAAATCCACCCCCCTCCCCATATATATTTTTGTTTGTTTATATTTAATGCAATCCCTTTACATTACTACACGTGTTGGGTGGAGAACAGAGGCCTACGGTTTGGGGAGAAGCGTAGGTGTTCTTGAGGATGATTGTGTGCATAAAAACCAAGCTCACTGCCATCCAGCGATCTTGACTCATAGTGAGCCTACAGCACAGGGTAGAACTGCCCCAGTGGATTTCCAAGACTGTACTTCTTTACAGATTAGAAAATCTCATCTTTCTTCCGAGAGTGGCTGGTGGCTTTGAACTGTTGATCTTTTTAAAAAAAATTATTATTCATCATCTTATTGGGAGCTCTTACAGATGTCATAACATTCCAAAAGTCACATAGTTGAGGCATAATTGTACAATTGCTACTACCATCAGTTTCAAAACGGAGCTGCTGATCTTATGGCTGGCCGCCCAACGTGTAGTCCAGGGCTCCCAGGTTGTGTGCATAAGACGCAAATGTCTGATTGTGCTTCCAGTCACGGCTTGTAGTGGTGCTTCCCTAGGGAACGATGCCCAAGGCTTGACTTTGGCCACACAGTCAAACCATGGCTTCCATTCTTCAGCCCTCTCAGGATCTTCTAGCACCCGCCACCCACTCAGGCTGATCACCAGGCACATTATGCTCTTGATGCTGAGATAGTGAGTGGCCGCTCCGTTTTAACAGCATGAATAATTCTAACGGCTATTATAAAACTTTCATGCGCAACTCCTATATCATCTGAAAAAAATAATACCCCCCCACTGTACAGTAAACCTTAGAGGGTCATTGAACCTACCCGATTGTGTTTTAAATTCTTCTTAACATAAATCCAGAAAGTATGCAGAGGTGGTGGAAGCTTCCACGAGGACTTAAAGAAAGGTGCTCCACATTTCAAAAGAGCATCTCTCAAGTCACACGTGACCAGGCTCACAAAAGGGGGGGGCTGTGAGTCGGGGTCAGCTGGGTGTCAGTGGGTCTAGGGGTTGGGTTTCAAACACAGTCACAGAAGACTTTACAAAAGAACTTGGACAGCAACTGGCCGGTCTGTTTTACTGACCACACGATAGGAACCTTATCCATAGACACCAGTTTCAGCAGTGCTAAAGTTCACCTCTGTCGTAAATTTAAAACACACGCACGATTTACAGAATTGTATTGAGAAGCATCGGATCGGAACAGACAAGTACACACAGTACAGTGTGACTGAGTAAAGGCTATCTGCAGAGCACCTGTCGAGGGGACCTTTGCCTCTTTAGTCTGCGTATGTGCATGGCCCCACATGTCTTCTTTCCCTACCAACGCTCTCCTTTCCACGCGGTCACAGTGGGGGTGCATTTGCGTGTCCTTCCCGTGTACAGCTGTGGGGCGGATAGAAACACGCTGTGGGCCAGACTGAGGAGTCTGCAGACCTTTTCAGAAGCAGCCTAGCACCCAGTCGCATCGCCTGGTCTTCTGGCAGACAGAAGCGGAGACATCATTAATTCCTATCTGTTGTTCCGGCGAAGTCCGGGGCTCACGCCTTCAGTGTTTACTTACTTGTTAGTCGGGGGGTTTCTGTTCCCGTTGTGCGGATGAAGCATTGACTTCTAGTGTCCCACAACCTCTGCTGACGTTTCTGTGTGTCACAAGAATGAAAACTTAATTGTCGTTATTTTCTTTCCCTTTCTTTCTCTCTTTCTTTTTTAAACAATACAGGGCAATCTAGAGCAGCCATGATACCTCCCAAGCATCCCCGGCAGCCCAAGGGAGCTTTGGATGACGCCGTTACCTTTGGGGGTAAAACAGACCAGGCAGCACCTGGTGCCTCCCAGCCCACACCACCCCCACTGCCAAAGAAGATGATCATAAGAGCCAACACAGAGCCAATCACCAAAGACCTCCAAAAATCCCTCGAAAGTAGTCTTTGCATCATGGCCAACCCCACCTATGACCTTGACCCCAACTGCGATGCCAGCAGTGCTGGCTCCTCCATCAGCTGTGAACTCAAGGGCCTGGACCTTGAGTCCTCTGACTCCTTAGAAAGACCTTTGCACAAGGAGAGGCGCGGGCCCTCGGCAGCCAACAGCATCTCCAGCTTAACCACTCTCAGTGTTAAGGACCGATTTTCCAACAGCACAGAGTCCCTGTCGAGCCGGCGCGGCACTTCTCGCAGACAGGGCCGAAGCATCCAGAAGCCACAGAGACACGCACTTTATCGAGGCCTTGAGAACCGGGAGGAGGTGGTGGGTAAAATCCGAAGCCTCTATACAGATGCCCTGAGGAAGATGGCCACCAAATGCGAAGACCTCTTCATGGCCGGGCAGAAAGACCAACTCCGTTTTGGGGTGGACAGCTGGTCAGACTTCAGGCTAACCAGTGACAAACCCTGTTGCGAGGCGGGTGATGCGGTTTACTACACAGCTTCCTATGCGAAAGACCCTCTTAACAGCTATGCAGTCAAGGTAAGAAAATACCGAAAACCCGATTTTACACTTCACCGATGCACTGCTCACTGGGCCAACTCTATTCTTCCTTCTTCCATTCAGCAAATAATTTTGCTCCCCACCCTCACACCAGGTACTGTAATCAATGGGAAGCCTTATTGCTGAGAGGAGAAAAATGCATCGGGAAAGAGACCTTACCTCCCACACTGTCTACCGAGTGCTACATTAGAGACAAGTAGAATCCTGTGGGGGCTTAGAAGGATTTTAACGTAGACTCTCGAAGTCAGGAGTGTCTCCTTAAAGCAAATGAAGCCTTGAGCTGCACTCTCTTCAAAGGCCAGCTCCAGAATGAGATCTGTTGTGTACATTCCGCTCCTCGGTCCTGTCTGTAGTCTCTACCGAACAAGAGAACTTGCTCTAGCCCAGCTCGCTTAGCTACCTCTCTGCTCTCTGGTGTGGGGCCCTGGTGGCACCATGGGTCAGGTGTTGGGCCACTAACTACCAGGTTGGAGGTTTAAAGCCACGAGCCACTCGGGGGTGGGGGGTGGGGGAGAATGAGGAGGTGGTTTGCTCCTTGAAATACAATATTAGGATCACTATAAATCAGAATGGACACAATTCTGCAGTAGGTTTGGGGTTTGGAGGTTTCTGCCTTTTGGAGAAACATTCTTATCAAGGTGATTTTGCCCGTGGTTTATCATTTAATGCTCACTTCTTGAGATTAAAGGTTTCTCTGTCTATGTGGCATATGCAGGAAATGACGCTCAGAGTTGGGGTTAACTTCTTGAGGGTCGTAAACCTGGACCTAAACCTCCTCCTCTCTGATGCCATGGCCTACAGTTTGTCTACCCGGTCACCTGTGATTTCTTCTATGTGCAGCTCCACATAGACGGGGTCTTGAGAATCAAGAGATGAAGCAATCCACTGCGTCAAACATTACCATTACAGTCACAATATGGTGCATCCCACTTGGAAGCCAGAAAGGTCTGGGTTTAAATTCCGACCTTGCCACTTGGTAGCTTTGCCACAAGGTGCCTCTCAGAGCCAACACTGCCCTCAGGTAGTAGCATAGGAGGTTACGTATTAGGCAGCTAACCACGAGGTCAGCAGTTTGAAACCACCAGCCACTCCTTGGGAGAAAGATGAGACTTCTCCACTCCCATAAAAAGGTGCAGTCTCGGGAAACTCACAGGGACAGTTCCACAATGTGCAATAGGGTCGCTGTGCGTTGGAAGTTGGAATCCTGGTACTGAAGGCTGCTGTTTGGTTCAAGGGTAACAAAGTGCACATGTTCCCCACGCAGTGCCCCAAATGCGCCCTTGTGTCACTCCCCGCAGCTTCTTCCTGTGGTCACTTTAAGACAGTGGTTCGCAACCTTCCTCATGCCGCGACCCTTTCGTACCGTTCCTCGTGTGGTGGCGACCCCCCAACCATAACATTATTTTCATTGCTGCTTCATCACTGTAATTTCACTACTGTTATGAATTGGGCGACCCCTTTGAAAGGGTCGTTTCACACACACACACACACACACACACGCCCAAAGAGGTTGCGACCCACAGGTTGAGAACCGCTGCTTTAAGAGAATAACAATCCTTGAATCTCCAGTTCCTCCTCTTTCAGCGGCGTGTGATGAGAATCAGTCTACTTAACAAGATGGAGGTGAAGATCTGGAACGAGTGGATGCGGAAGGGTTTGGGAAGACACAAAGCGCTGTGTGGACCGGAGTGACAGTGACGCTCCCCATTCCTTTTTACTGATTCTGTTCACTGGTTCAAAACCAATGAACATATCTCAATGGCTTTCGGTGTTAATTTGGCTTAGAAACACCAGATGGTGTCGTAGGAAATTAATGGATAAGGTAAAAGATCAGCTTTTACCTGTCTGTCAAGACAAGAATGTTCGTCTGAGCCAGACCTCCAGCTCCTCTCTGCAGTGGTAGCACCTACGCCACTTGACTGTCTGGTGGCACTAGCAAAGTGACCTCCGGCTGCAGCCTACACTTTTTAAATTAAACTGTGGGGTGAACTACAGAGAAGGGAGCCGGATTCAGAGTTAATCTGTAACTATCGACTCGAAAAAGGCATTCTGAGATTGTGGATAGCACTCAAGAGCGGTTGTGTCAATTGGGGCTATGGTGCCTTGATTGCTACAAGATCGCCAATGCAGGAGGAGTACCTGCTTCAGAAAGGGGCCATGAACTCTCTGTCCTTTCAGAACAATTGAGAAGTAAGCTTGACTAACGTCTTGTATTACTGCCGTGCAGTCTTGTCTCTCCCTAATCAATGGCCTAGTATTGATGTCTTTGCTTGTAATGATGTGGAAGGAATCTCCAAAGAACAGGTGGCAAGTGATTCTATACTGGGAGTTGTTGGCAGGTTTGGGAAAGGATGTTTTACACTACATGCTGCATATAAATGTCTCTTTGAAGACCCTCTGGGCATTTCCAGAAGCACCCAATTGATTGTACAGCCTTAGAGGACTAGTTAAACTACTAGGACACTGTGAACCCCACCTTTGCAGCGACGAGCAAAAGAGACCAGCAGTTGGCCCACAGAACTGTGCTTTTTACTGTCTTCTTAAGACATCTCTTCCTGTATTAATGGAATTTCGAGTGGGCTACAAGTCAGAATCGAGCCGAAAACAGTTGGCTTGGTTTGGATTTGGAATAGATGTGGTGCGGTGGTTAAAGTGCACAGCTACTAACCAGAAGATCAGTGTTTTGAACCCACTGACTGCTCCACAGGTAAGCAGTCTGCTACCATAAAAGCTACAGCCCTGGAATCCCTTTACAGCAGTTCTATGCTGTCCTATAGGGTTGCTGTGAGTTGAAATCAACTCAACAACCATGAAGTTGAGTTTGGTTGGTTTTAACAGGTGTCAAGGGAGCCCCATTGGCACAGTGGTGTAGATGCACTTAATCAGAAGCCCATGTCATGGTTCAAACCCATCAGCTGCTCTGCTGGTAGTCTGCTTCCATAGAAATGTACAGGCTTGGAAAGCCTATGCGACAGTTTTATTTGGTCCTGTAAAGGGGGTTCTTATGAATCAAAATCAACTTGATGGCAGTGGGTGGCTCATAGATATGACTCGCTCTGAAGAGAAGACTAAAAGGTTCTTAAAAAGGCATCAAAGGAAGCCAATGAGAATTTAGCAAGAGGAAAGCCAAAAGCTCCTGCCCCTTAATCAGCAAACCCACTGCAGTAGTGATAAACCCACTGCAGTAGTGATAAACCTCTACTTTTGACTGCTGAATTTTGTCTTTTATTATAGAATAGTTGGCTTCCACTCAAGACTTTTACTAGATTGGGGTGGGGGCAGGCTTCTTTCAAATGTAATCCTTTTTACATTCCATGTGACTAGCTTGATTGTTTTTTATATTGGTCTTAAACTAAAAGGCATCAACAACACAGGGCAAAGGGCAGTTCATTTGGAGTCAGCTCACCTGGGACCAAGTTCTAAGTCTCTGTGTTCTTTTTTTAATTGTTTGATCCAAATGTACACATCAAATCACTTTTCCACTTAACAACTTATACATATTTGGCGTGTGTGACCCTGGTTGGATCCCCTCAGTATAGCAGCACTGTTTGTCCTCCCTGAGTTCCTGGTTCTCTTTGTCCTCCTCTCTCTCCCCTTTCAGGGACATGGTAGTGTAGTGGTTATGCATTGGACTGCTAACCACAAAGTGAGCAGTTCAAAACCACCAGCAGCTCCGAGGGACAAGGACAGGGCTTGCTACAGTCTCAGAAATGCTAACCTGCCCTATAGGACTGCCGTGGGTTTCCTGGTCTCTGTGAGACCAGTACATGTGGGTGTGCATTTGAATGCTCTTCTACACCTTGTTCCTCCCTTTCTGAGGACCTTCTGTTGTGATCCTGACTACTGCAGTCAGTAGGGGTAGCCCGGCACCATCTAGTTCTGTTCTGCAGGCAGTGGACACTGTGGTTCCCATGGCCCATTAGTCTGCTCAGCTCACTCTTCCTCCAGTCTGTCTTTGCTGTTCTTTACTCGTCGTCGTCGT